GGGGGCGGAGGTTTCGAGTTTCTAGGGTTTAGGGTTTCGGGTGTCAGATGAGGTTTCAGGGGGGGCGGAGGTTTCGAGTTTCTAGGGGTTTCTAGGGGTTTTAGATTTAGTTTAGGGTTTAGGGATTTAGGGGTTTAGGGTTGAGGGGTGGTGGCTGAAGGATTCAGCTGGCTGAACGTGGCTAGGGCTCAAGAAAGGTAGGGTTGACAGGCGAAGGCTCCGGGTTGAGGGTTTCGAGGTGTACGTAGGCTGAAGCGTTTGGGATTTTTAGGCTTGAGAAGCTCAGGGTGGAGGCCCTAAACCCTAAACCCTCAACCCTAAACCGTCAACCCTAATCCCGCAACCCTAAACCCTAAACTTTAGGGTTTGGGCTGGAGGGGTTGAGGGGTTGAGGGTTTGGAGCGCGCAGGGGGTTTTGCGTTGAGGGTCGCAGGTCTAGGGCTGAGGCTTCTGGATTTGGGGCTTAGAGTTTAGGGTTTGGGGTTTTGGGTTTAGGGCTTAGGAAACTTAGGGTTTTGGGTTTTGGGTTTAGGGCTTAGGAAACTTAGGGTTTTGGGATGGGTTTAGGGCTTACCGTTTAGGGCTTAGGGTTTCGGGCGCGGTAGGGTCGAAGTTTAGGTCCCGGTATCGGTGCACCCATTGACCGCCTCCCTGCAGACAGAGCCGTCGGAGTGAGGAGCGGACGGCCCGGAGACTACTAACACCCCCCCCGACTTTAAAGGGCTTTGGGTTTTAGGGTTTAGGGTTTAGGGTTTGGGGTTTAGAGTTTAGGGTTTAAAGGGGCGCGACGAAGCTAGACCCGCCGAAAGTTGAGAAACGCCTTGGTTCCGACGCACCGGAGCCCTCCCTCAAACCCTTGGCCTCTAACCCTAAACCCTGAACCCAAAACCTTAAAACTTACCCTAGGCCCTAAACCCTATACCTAGTTAAACCGAACCCAAGGCCCAAGAACCTGGCGCGGCGGCTTTTTTGCCCGCGTGGCTACAGGCGTTGCAGGCATTGTCGAGGCTCTTCGCGCCCCATTTTCGGCTTCCTTCTATTCGATTTTATAGGGGCTCTGCGATGAAAGGGTTCCTAGCAATTTTTTGGGATTTGGGGGGAATGAGAGGATCTGCGTACGTTGCAGACGGTGAAACGAGGAGTCTGCACAAGAAACCACAAGAAGCCTGCTAAAGCCGAGCTGGTCTATACTGAGCGGTTTAGGGTTTAGGGTTTAAGCGTCCAGGGTTTAGGGTTCTAAGCGTGGGCCTAGAAGCCAAGCTAATATGTCCATAGCAGGAACCGCATGTCGGCGTAAAAACTCGGGGCAGAGACGCTCCCGGCAGAAAGGGCAGCTCACATGACGGCCTTCGTGAAATCGATGCGGCGGGTCTTGAACCTCCGGTTTAGGGTTTAGGGTTTGCGGGTCTTGAACCTGCATTGCTCGTGACTGCATCTTCGGGTTTGCGGAAACCCGAAGCACTTCAAATGCCTGTGCGCGGCTTTGGACCCTAGGCTCCAAGGCCCAAAAACCCTAAACCCAAAGCCCTAAACCTTAAACTCTCCCAAATCCCTGAGACCCGCAAGCGGGAGGGGACTAGGACAGCTGCGATCCCTCAAAATTCTACACCCCAAGACCGGTTTAGGCTTGAGTGTGTGTAGGGTCCAGGGCTTAGGCCTTAACGATTTTGCAACTGCTACACCCCAAAACCCACATCAAGACCGGGGCGGACCCGATCCACATGCTTCTGTACCAGAAGCCCACGATGAAGGTACCGACGAAGCAAGCCGACATCGCCTGAGGAAAGGTGACTCTACTGGGTTCTGGGGGTCGCAGGAAAGCCTTCGGAAAGCGGAAAGCCTCTAACAATGCAGTTTGAGCCGTACTCTGTCCCTCAAGCAACTGGTGTCCACAATCCATTCTTTAGGGTTTAGGCTTAGGGTGTGTATGGGTAGTTCTCTACATCTCGTCTTGCATCAAGCCCCAAAACCGTTTTAAGCTTGCGCTTGTTAGGGTTAGGGCCTTAGGACTTTAAGGTTTAACTTAAGCTAAACCACCCATGAACATCTCTTCTACTACGCCAAACCCTAAAGCTTAAATTTCTACATCCCCCAACCCCGAAACCCCCTTACCCTGGCCTGAGGATCTCTTCTTAGAATACTTCAAAACCCCTCACCCTAAGCCCTAAACCCCTACCTCCTAAACCCTAAAGCCCCTCTACCTGTACCACCCCAAAGGCCTAAAACGCCCCAAAGCCCCTTAAGTGTGCCGTACTATTTCGGTGGACCTAAAAGGTACCCTAATTTAGAGAACTACATACATCCTAATATGCCCCAATCCCACCAAACAGCCCAGGAAACCTGCATGGCCTTGTGTATAACAAAAAGCCTCTTCCAGCCCGGTACAGCCCTGTCAACCGTAAGGTTTAGGGTTCAGGGTTTAGGCTTTAGGGTTTAGGCTTTAGGGTTTAGGGTGTTTCGGGTTCAGGGTTGAAGCCTGCGAGACCCCATCAAGCCCTCAGTAAAACTATAAAGCGGCTGTAAGCCCCAGAAAAGGCTGCGTACGACACCCCTCTGGAACCCTAAGAAAACCTTATGGAAACCCTTAACAGCCTTAACACTCAGAGCCCTGAACCCTTCATACATAAACCCCATACTCTAAATCCAAAAGCCTACGGGAAACCTCGAAACCCTCTGAAGCCCGAATATACAGGCCTAGCTTAATAGGTAGAGAAGGGTTTGGGAATACATTCTACTATACACATAATAAGGAGCCCGGAGGCCCAGTGTCCATGTTCCAACTTTCTGAGTTTTACTCTATAAGAGAACCCTCACAAACCTAAAAGCGCAAAACCCAAACTAGACCCTCCGTAAGCCAAGCCCTAACAACCCTAGCACCCTAACCGCCGAAACCTCAAACCGCCCTAAACCCTAAACCCCTAAACCCTATAACCCCTAAACCCCTAAACCCCTAAATCCCAAAACCCCTAAACCTCTTCTGCCCCAAGCCCCTAAACGCCGAAATCCGAAAACCCCTAAACCCTCTTCTGCCCCAAACCCCTAAACCCCAAAACCCCAAACTCTTAAACCCCCCAAACCCTAAACCCCAAACCCCCAAAAACCTCAAACCCTAAACTCAAAACCCCCAAACCCCAAACCCCTAAACCCAAAAACCCCTAAACCCCTAAACCCTCTTCTGCCCCAAACCCCTAAACCCCAAACTCTAAATCCCAAACTCCTACCTCCTAAACCCTAAACTCCTAAACCCCAAAAGCCTAAACCCCTAAACCCCTAAACCCCAAACCGCCCTAAACCCTAAACCCCAAACTCTAAATCCCAAAACCCCTAAACCCCAAAGCCCCCAAACCCCTAAACTCTAAACCCCTGAACCCCTAAACCCTCTTCTGCCCCAAACCCCTAAACCCTAAACTCTAAATCCCAAAACCCCAAACTCTAAATCCCAAAAGCCCTAAACCCTCTTCTGCCCCAGAGAGTCTCGCCTTCAAGCCGATCAACTTACGCTCGTCGTGGGCTGGCTCGGCTGCCCAGCCTTTTTGGGGACTCGAGGGTCTATGGGGTTTAGGGTTTAGGATTTGGGGTTTAGGGTCTAGGGTTTAGGGTCTATAGGGTTTAGGATTTAAGGGTATTTAGGGCTTAGGAAGTTTTAGGGTTTAAGGTTCCGGGCTTAGGATTTAGGGTTGTGGGTCTATGGTTTAGGATTTAAGCCTGCGGAGGTTCCGGGCTTTCTAAGGGCTTTAGGGTTTTAGGCCTTCCGGGTTTCGGGTTCAGGGCTACCGGGCTTTCTCTGGGCTCTTAAAGGGTCTTGGGCTTAGAGTTGCAGGCTTAGGGCTTTTTTGGGTTCAGACTTTTGGGGTTTAGGGTTTAGGGTTTTTTGGGGATCAGACCTTGAGGGCTTTAGGGTTTAGGGTTTAGGGCTTTAGGCCGTTGTAGGGTTTAGGGTTTACGGGTTTTAGGCAGCTTTAGGGTTTAGGGCTCTAGGGTTTTAGGCAGTTTGAGGGCTTAGGGTTTAGGGCTTAGGGTTGAGACTCTTAGGGTTTAGGGTTTTGGGTTCATGGCTCCAGGCTGAAGGATGCTTTTTTGGACCAGAAGTGTTCCGTAAAGCTTGGTTGGGCGTGCGTCTTCAGTGGCCTTTCTTTGCGAGTTCGAACAGGCTTTTTCTGGTGCTTAGCAACATTTTCACAAAGGGATGTTGGCAGAATTCTTCAGGTTCTAAACAGCTAGGTTTATCTGGAGCTTAGCATTGCTTTCATAAGGGTCTTTGGTAGAATTCTTCAGGGCCGGATGCTGCACGATTTTCGGCTCTGCGGTCGAGGGCATACGGTTTCTTTAAAGATTCCTGGAAGGGGTTTCTTCTGCGATGAGCTTTGCAAGGATGATAACAGCATCTGAGCATGAGGCTACGGCCTTGAGAGTTGCGCTGATGATGAAGACGATGACGATGACGATGAGATGGTGATGGCGATGGTGATGGTGACCATGACGATGATGATGGTCTTGCGAAGTGCCAACCGGCTGTTGCTACTCTGCCAGCACTCCTTAACCCCTAAGCCTAAGCCCAAACCTTGCTGTACGAGAGCCCGGCAAAGGAAGTTCACGACGTCCTTGGCCATCTGTGACTTCGTGCAGGGCGTTCCATCCTGGCAAGACTGCAGGTGCCAGGGCTGCGGGCTTTTTTGCGGCTTGGGGGGGGGGGGCTTTTTGGGGTTTCGGGTGAACAAAAGATTGAAAGAGAAACCAAAGGAGAACGCGTCAACTTCGACCCCTTACATGGCAAGAAAGAGCCCTAGAAAGCTCTGGAAATGATCCTGAACGATCCCCTTATAGAACCCTCAACCCCCTAAACCTTAGACCCTAAACCCTAAACCCTAAACTCTGTTTTAGAACCCTCAACCCTAAACCTTAAACCCTAAACCGCCAACCCTTGAAGACCCCTCACATGGCAGCCTCGTAATCCACGAGGCCATCCGAGTGGAGCGGGCTGGGCATGCCGATCAGGCCTTCCGCTTGGGGTCTAGGGTTTAGAGTTTAGGGTTTTGCGGGGTTTAGGGTTTAGAGGAGTTTAGAGTTTAGAGTTTAGGGGTTTAGGGTTTAGGGTTTAGGGGTTTAGAGTTTGTAATTTAGGGGTTTAGGGGTTTAGGGGTTTAGGTTTAGGCTTCAGGTGGTTTCTGAGGGTCTATAGGGACTTATTGGGTTGTACAGGTGTGTAAATGCTCGTGAGCACTAGAACCCTAAAGACAATGAAAATAGGCCGAAACCCCAAAAACCCAAACTCTGAACCTCACGTTGGGATATGACACAACACACCCTAAACTTTCTAACATTGTACCCTCAAAGTTCAAACCTTAAATCCCCAACCTTCGACGCGAAAGCTTTAAACCCCCCTAAACCCGAAATCCTAAGGCCTAAACCCTGAACCCTAAACCGTAAGCCCTAAACCCGAAGCCCTAAGCCCTAAACCCGGAACCCCCACCCTAAACCCTAAAGCCCTAAACCCTAGACAGCCTAAACCCTCGACCTGAAATACCCTTCCTCGTACTCAGGCTCCGCCATGAGGAAGGGTGCTCCCAATAAGGGTTGTAGGACTTGGCTTACAAGAGGTTTGTAAAACTTGCGGGTAGGTTTAGGATCGAGGTTTTGGTTTCGGTCCTAAGGCGCTTGGGTACAGGGCGTCGGGTTTCATCATCGTCTTTCGCCTGCTCTTGCGGAAGAGCTCTTGTGGTTGCCAGGGGCGCTCGAAAATCAGTGAATTCGTTTAGGGCTTATGGTCAGGTCGAGGGTTTAGGCTGTTTAGGGTTTGGGGTTTAGCTAAACCCTAAACCCTACACCCTAAAACCCTCAACCCTCACGCTAAAGGCTTTGGGTGCGCAAGTTCAGGGTTTAGGATGAAATGTAGCGCTTTCCGGTGGTGGACAGCCAAAGAAGAAGCCCAATTCCGGCATAGTTGAAGCCTCTCTCTCTCTCTCTCTCTCTCGCTCTCTCTCGCTCTCTCTCGCTCTCTCTCTCTGGCTTTCTGCTTTAGGTGAAAAGTCTAAGCAAACGGCAAACAACAATACCTCCGCAGACTCTTCTTGAGAGGTGAACAGAAGCGGGCAGAGAAAAGAATGCAGAAAGAACACACCAGTTCTCCCTCGGTGGGAGCCCACGGAATCTCAACACGAAGACCATGAAAATAATCATCTTCTTCTTCAACATTATGACCACTATCATGATTGTTATCATTCTTATCATGTCGCTACCATTACTCCTAATAGTAGTGCTATTTTCTTAGCCCCAAACCCTTAACCCCACACCTTGACCCTGAACCGGGGCCTCTACATCTTAGGCGGTTCAGGGCACGAAACGTTCACAAAAGGCGTTGGGACTCCTAAACCCCTTCCGAAAGGAATTGACTTTAAACAATTCGGATCCTGATTGTGATTTAAAGCATGTTCTCATACTCCTTCAGCAAGGACACTACGACACCCGAACAAATACTCATAAAACCTTGCAGCAAAAAACCTACTAAAACAAATCCCACATCATCGTTCTTACTTTGGGGGCATTGGAGTCTCGGGGACTGCTGTCGTTGTTGATCCCGCGCCGCCTCCGGGGAAGTACACGTTGTAGTACAGCCTCGGTGTACAGCGAGGCTCGGAAAGTTGGAACCCAGAGAGCCCAATACACCTTAATTAAGGAATATACCTTAAATCATAGGGCCTTATTATTATTATTATTTTTTTTATTTGTATTTTTATAATTTAAGGTAGTTTCCTTAATTAAGGGGTATTGGGATCTCTGGGTTCTTCTTGACCTTAAGAGCATGAGGATCATGCTGCTGCAACTTCCTGGCTTCTACCTTAGCGTTTCGGGCTTCGGGTTGATTATGGGATCCTTAAGGGAGGGGGGTTCTAAGAGGGGTATATAACCCAATAATCCCCAATTCTCCCTAGGGCTCCCTTAGGTTCCCTAAAGCTCCCTAAGGATCCCTAGGACCCTCCTCGCTTGAACCACCCTCTCTTAAGGATCCGATAAGTTTGGGCTTAGAGTTTCGGGCTTGGGATTTGGGGTTCGAGGCTTCGGGTCGGAGGGTCACTGGCTTAGGGCTTCGGGCTTAGGGTTTAGGGTTCAGGGTTTAGGGTTTAGCTTCATAAGGATTCAGGAATCCAACTTTACTTTCGCTGTTTCTCATCACCAGTGTAGCCACTAGCGTCAACTCCATCCGAAATCCTAAACCCTGCCAGGTTTAGAGTTCAGGTAGTTCTAAATTAGGGCCCCTTTGAAGTACGGCACCCGTATAAAAAGGACCCTAAAAGGGACCCTAATTTAGACAACGACCCGCTTAGGGACCCACCCCCCAAAGCCAGGAGTCCTTGACCCAAAGCCCCAAAGTAGATGAAGCCCTAAACCCGAAACTCTAAACGCCTAAGCCCCTAAACCCTGAACCCTAAACCCTAAACCCTAAACCCCAAGCCCTCAACCCTGAACCCTAAGCCCCAAAGAGGATGAAGCCTGCAAGAGGAGCCCCCGATTTCAGAAGACCTCGGACCCCCCAAGAAAGCGCGCCTCCTGAGGCCCATGTCAATTTCTAGGAGGTTGAGAACACAGTTTCGGGTTTAGGGCTTAGGGTTTAGGGTTGGGTTTAGGGTTTAGGGTTTCGGGTTTAGGGGCTTAGGCGTTTAGGGTTTAGGGTTTAGGGTTTGGGGGTTTAGGGGTTTAGGGTTTAGGGTTGATAGGGGGTACTCGCGAAACCCCGACACCTGCAGAACCATGTTGCCTCAAGCCTGCACCCTAGAACCTGTCGCCACTAGCCCTTAAATCCGTGAAACCCTAAACACTGACCCTTGAACCCCCCAACCCTAGACCCCAATTAAACCCTCTCATCTAAATCCGTAAAACCCTTCAATCCTAGCCCCTAAATCATAAAATCCCTAACCCTTAAACCCAAAAACCCTAAACCCTTATAGAACCCTTATAGAACCCTCAAGCCCCAAAACCCTAAACTCTAAACCCTCTCGTCTTGCAGCAAGCAATGCCGGCCGAGACAAAGACCCGTCGCGGACGTCGATGCCGGCCGGAGGATCACGGTATCCAAGCCTCAGGGTTTGGGCACCTTCAACCCTTAAACCCTATACCCTTAAACCCTAAACCCTAAACCCTTAAACCCTTAAACCCTAAACCCTAAACCTAAGGGGCAGGATTTCGTAAGGATTTCGTCAAAAGGGCCTGCATAACGATCCTGTAGCATTGTGGAGTCTGAGGGTTGAGGGCTTTCAGGGTCGAGTGCTCAGGGCTTTCTGTAGGGCTTGGGGACAGTTTGAAAATCCGCCCAACTCGATGTCGCAGCCGGCGTCGTCATGGTCCGGAGGGATGATGCGTTGAAAGCTCAAAAGAAGACTCCATCCAGGTCTAAACCTACATGAAATTCAGAGACCGGAATACTTGCCGAATTCCGCATTATAGTGAAGGCATAACACCAGAACCTGGGCGGACCTTCGTTCCCAAACAATGCACCTTAAATCCCGAAGAGCCCCACCAACCCCGACAGTTTAGGGCTGAGGGCTTAGGGTTTAGAGTTAAGGCTTTAGGGTTTAGGGGCCAGGGCCGCCACAGCAATGCGAAGATGTAGTCCAAGCCCTCGTGCTTCGCAGTGGTGTAGACCTGAGCTCGTTCGAGTGGTAGAGTTGTCTAGGGATTGATAGGCAGGAGGGTGCTCAGGGTCCCCCAAAAGAGTTCCATGACAGGGTTCCTGCAAAGATTCCTGAAAGAGACTGCAGAAGCTTTTCGAAGAGAGGCTCCCATAGGGGTTCCCATGAAGGTTCGCACAAGGCTTCCTAGAAGGGGTGGGGCTTTAAGAGCATTTGGGGTCTATGGCCTTTTCTGGCTTGAGCCCTCTGGGATCGAAAAATGAAGCACCTCCTAAACCCTAAACCCTAAACCCTAAACCTTTGGGAAGCTTCCTCCTAAAACCCTAAATGCTCAAACTTCATCCTATACCCTATAAACCCTAAACCCTAAACTCCTCGACCCCGCAACCCTAAACCCTAAGCTCCTCTCAACCCCAAGCCCTAAACCCCTCAACCCTCAACCCTGAACCCTAAACTCCTCAACCCTGAACCCTAAACCGTAAACTCCTCAACCCTAAACTCCGCAACCCTAAGCCCTAAACTCCTCAACCCTACCTAAACTCCTCAACCCTACCTAAACTCCTCAACCCTCAACCCTAAACCCATCAACCCTCAACCCTAAACCCTAAACCCCTCAACCCTAAGCCCTAAACTCCTCAACCCTACCTAAACTCCTCAACCCTCAACCCTAAACTCCTCAACCCTGAACCCTAAGCCCTCAACCCTCAACATGCAGCCACACCCAGACCGAGGCCAGCGACCGACAGGTCCGGTGGGTTGGCGCCTCCGTTCGCGTAGCGCGCCGCCTCCTCGTTGGGGTAAGGCCTCGGAAGTAGGGCTCCTTAAAGGGATCTCTAAGGGTTTCTGTAAGTCGTGGTTTTAGGGTTTAGGGTTTAGGGGGGGTTTAGGGTTTAGGGGTTTGGGGGTTTAGGGGTTTAGGGTTTTGGGGTTTGGGGGTTTAGGGTTTTCGGGTTTGGAGTTAATAGGGTTCCTTAAAAAGCTCCTTTTAGGGATCGAGAAGGTTTGGGGTTCGAGGTCTAGGGCTAAGGATTAGGATTTAAGGTTGTAGGGTGGGGGGTTTAGTGTTTAGGGTTTAGGGTGGGAGTTTGGTTTCGTTTTCAAGCTTCCGACCTCCAAAACCCGTGTGAAGTTCTGGAAAACACCCCTGGAAATCCCTCCGGGACCTAGGAGTCTGTCAAAATCCGCAAACCTTCCAACCCATGAAACACTGCGCTCTTGCCGTTTCCGCCAGACTGTTTGAAGGATGCTTGTAGACCAGTTGACAGGTCCACAGACACAACCGTTGATCAAAACTGTATCTTGACCGCTACAACCATGAATACTTTATACCTTCAACCCTCCACTGTGTCATCTGCTTCAGACCCTTCAAAGGGTCTTGATCAACCCTAAACCTGATCTCAGGAGCCCACGAGGGGAAAGCATCAACCAGAATGCCCGGGCGAGTGAACATCTCTCCCTGCACCACGAACACTCTCGGCTTCCCGCTAGTGGTTGAGGTCTTTTCCGGCTGCCAGCACCGACGAAGAACTAGGCCCCATTCTTTAGAGCACGGCCCTATCAAGGACATTTTGTTTACATCATACATGTCTTTTCACTGACTCTGTCTATGCTTATAGTACAATTGCGTTGGGTGGGTGCCAAGCAGAGAGGCATGCAGGCAGCCAGTCAGGCGGTAGGCAGGCATGCCTGCATGGACGTACGCCTGGGTTTTTTCAATTTATAAGGGTTTAGAGTGTATGGATGTATGTATGGATGGAGGGATGGAAGCATCAACTCGAAAGGACCTGTCACACGATCCCTTTGGTCGGTCTAGCTTGCCTCGTCATTGGGACCATCAACGACGTCGTAGGAAGATGCAATCTCCTTCATGCGCTTCTCCGGCAGAACCTTTTCGAAAGCAGTTATCCAGTCTTGAACCTAGTCGTACATACGTGTGTATGCGCGCGTGCGTGTGATTGTGTGCGAATGTGTGCGGCTGTGTGCGTGGGTCTTGCGTGCAACAGCAGCGAAAGCTCTCTCGTTGCTGACCGCAGCTTTCGCTGGAGTCACAGTGCTCAGACTATAGACTATAGTTATTATAGTTACCATAGTTACTATAGCTACTATAGTTGATACATCTTGTATACACACCGTCCTGATCCTCCGCAACCGCAACGGAAGAGAAGCAACCGCAACCGGGCCCAGAATAAGGGAAACACAAGCTAGACTCACTGTCACCGTCACCCTCAAGCTCATCGTCATCATCACTGCCACCAACGGCGTCAGATGGCACATGTAACTAGCTTCTGCCACAAGACTGACGTCAAATGTTGTCTACCGCGCTATCATGAACCATCAGCAAAGAAGGTCTGAGATATTCAAAGGCTCCGGCAAAGTTGACCAAGTGGCGGAAGTGAAGCTGCTTCATGGAGTGGCACCTGGGACGCGACGAGCACCAGATGTGAGCTACTTCCAACAATAGGATTTGGTTCGAATCCTAAAGTTCCTGCTAAGTGAAGCCCCTCTATCCCTCAAAATGCTTGTCTCGTCATTGGGCGGCTGATGGAAAAGCAGACCGTAACCCCTAAACCCTAACCC